GGGATAGTGGTCTGTGGGCTGGAGGAGTTTAGGGATCCTCTCCACAATGTCCCAGATGTGGGCCCCTGGGAAACAGTAGACTTCCCGGGCTAAGGGGTCAGGGCGGCAGATTGCCCCCTCATTCCCCCTCAGGATGGAGTCTCCCACAACAAACACCTTACATTTTGTCTTGGGGAGAGGGGGGGCGGTAGCTGCAGTTGTGCCTGTGTTTCTTGCGGGAGCTGGCAACTCAGCAGTCTCTGCTGGAGCAGCAAGAGGTGCAGGGCAGGGGCCTTGGTGTGGTGGGCCTTAGGGCCCTTGACCACCTTGGTCCATGCCCCTGACTGGACAGAGTGGGAGGTCCTGGATTCCTCCTTTGTCCTGGAGGGAGACCGTGGTCTACCCTCCGGCTCCTGGGGGAGAAGGGCCTGGCTATAGGAGTCTATCTCCTGCTCACAGTCCCTGATGGCATGCAGTCTCTGGACTGTGGCCTGGAGCTCCTCCAGCTGGTGTGCCAGAGACCCCAAAAAGGGAGCAGACCCCACAAGGAGAGGTGGCCATGGTCCTGGGCCCCAGAGCCTAAAAAACAAACAGGCAACCCCTGCAGCCGAGAGCCAGAGGCTCTGTCTGCATGGAGCCTGGGACCATGGGCTCCGTCTGGGTGGCAGTCTCTGAGGTGCTAGAGTGGGGGGCTGCAGAGCCCAAGGGGACCCTTGGGGTGCAGCGCATGCCCATCCATGTCATGTCTCTGGTAGGCTGGCTACGGCTGGGACTGTCTTCCCTGGGGGGCTCACAGGCAGGGCCTCAGCCCTCCCGCGCACCCTCCTGCACGAACTCTACCCTTACTCACGCGCCAGCAGACAAGCATGCCTGTTTGTACAGCCTGTATTGCACACAAAACCAAATAATTTGCTGATAAATAATTAATAGAGTTAATAGTAAAACAATGTAAATGCATGACATTTACCCATAATGGTCTCTTCCAACTCTTCTTCCATAATTTCCTTATTTTTAAACAAGGATTTCTGATTTTCTCACTTTTATTTTTCCATTCAAAGCCGACCAAAATTTATAATTTAAAGGCGGGCTGCCCAGGAACCAGAGAACAAGGGACTTTGCACAGGCATCATCCTTACTGAGAAAGGCACAGATCTTGTTTCTTGAAGTAAGTGAATGCATTTGTTGCCCACTGGTTTGCTTGGCTGCAATTTATAATTTGGAGTGCTGTTTTGAGGTGGACAGAGGCCTTTGTAGCTGAAAACAGGAGGAAAGCTCCCTGTCTTTGATCACAACTGACAGTTAACTGCTGAATCTAAATAAAGGGACAGGGTTGATCAAGACTTAACAAGCCAAGCATCAGGAGGGAGGAATTGTTCAGAAAACAGAGAATCAGTTTGTTTCTTTTATTAAATGTGGGGACAAGGAAGAGAAGATGGTGATGATGAATGAAGCAGCAGTGCAGGAGATTCAGAGAACTGGAGAGAAAATAAAAAGTAATGGACACAAAATCTGTGGCACATACATTACTTCACTGGAGTACCTGTGAGAGGATTTTTAATGGAACTCATGGAAGAAAAGATCCAAAGTGGAGTGCAGATGGAGGCTACTGTGGAGTCCAGGCAGAAATTTGAGGAAGTGATGGAGGAAAGCTTAGGGAAGGCTGCATGGGTAACAGAAGGTTAGAAGAGATGTCTTAGTATATGGGAAGAGGAAAGCCAGGTCAGGAGGGATGAGAAATAAAAGTAACAGTAGTGGTAGCATTATATGATAACTACGTGGCAGGCTGTAAAGAGGTAAGAATGGATGGTACCGATAAAACAGAATCTGAGTCAAAACTGATTTGCACGAAGATATTAAAACAGATACTCCTGTGATAGGGCTGGAAGTCTGCTAGAAACCCTTAGGTCAGATTTACCTAGAGAACTCTGTATTGTTATTAGAAAGGTAAACACAACAGCAAAGTGTGCCACTATGGGAAATTTCAACTCCCCAGATAGACTGGAAAGCAAATGCTAGCAATAATGGGTAGGCCCCAGATATTTCTAACACAAATGGACTACTGATTTCTTCACTGAACGCTCACTGAAACAACAAGAAGTGATGCTATTTTATATTTGGTTTTGTAAGTGATGAGGCTATTATAGAAGAACTGATCATAAAATGCAACCTTAAATTGAATAATACCAAATTGATTCACTTTGCTTTAAAAAAGAAAGATCAAGAAAAAGTCTGCAATTGTGGTCCCCTATTTTGATAATGTAAGAGAACAAGCTAGGGAAGTGCACTGGACTGAGGCACTCAGGGAGTTGAGTGTATACTAGGTCAATTAGTTAACTGGAAGTGGAAGAATTCTACACCTCTAAGATGTTATTAGTAGCAATTTGAATCTCAGTAGTGACTCTTGAAACTTCAGTCTCATTTCCCCCTTACTTTCTCAAGTATAATTATAAAATCATTTATTGCCTCCGACTCCAAATATTGACATTATAGTGAAGCAAAACAATGTCTGTTTTCAGTCTTTCCTCTTTTCTGTCTCCTATACAATATTCCTTTTGATATCCTCTTTTATCCCAGGCACTCTAAAAACCTTCCTTGTGTTTAAAAAATACAAGACCCAAGGAAATACCTTCAGGAAGGTTTTATTTGAATTACAACAGCTAGGTCATATTTGGACCTCAAAAGTCATGCTAAAGAATGTACATCCACCCCAACTTCAAATTTATACCAACATAACCTTAACTCTGTGTAAAGCACTTAATTTTCATCTACTACCATCATTGAAATGTAGTCTTTGTAACGAATTTTATTTGTTTCTGGATCTATAGCAGCTGACAGCATTTCCTCCATTTCTTCCTGTGTAAAAGGCTCACCTGCAGGATAAGAGAAATGTCAGCAGTTCGTTTTGATACAGCATGTTACTTCCAACATATCACTAGCAAAACTAGCACTAGTACTGGTTGCATTCAGAGTAACAACAGTAGAGCTGTAAGTGAAGAAAGGATAGTCATGTTTACCGGAACAGCCTATACCAGTGCCACCACTGTTGCTAATATCAGAGCTATTTGGAGATAGAAAATGGTGAGAGATTTCCTGAACAAACAGAACAAAACAAATCAACAAAAAACCAAACCACTGACTGCTCACTGAACTATATCTCAACACCTAAACAGCATAAACACATTGCCCAGCTATTGAGAGATACTTTAGCAGAATCATTTTACTTTCTCCCTACTGAGAGTTCGTATCCATACAGTGCATCACACACTGAAGTTAAACATCTTCACCCAGCACTAGCTATGTTAGCGCTACTTGAAAGCATATGACATTCTCCCAGGTTTCCTTTCAGATATGCTGACACAGATAAACCTTAAAACCTAGGTGATTTTTATTATATTTATATATGTCATTTTCTCTACTATTGTCTTGTTAAGAATGTCTCCTGTTTTCCAGCACTCTGCAAGAACTTGAGCTTGCAGTTACTCCACTTAGATGTAAGGCTCTTGTCTCCGCACAGTCACACATATGGGATAGAAGTACTCAGGAGAGTGTGAGAGAAAACTGAATCACTAGAAGATAGTGGTCCCTTTTCTCAAAAGATGTCTAGGTGAACTTGAAAGTCCACCATAAATGGCATCAAGGCTAATGTATTCCACAGAGCAGGGATACTGAAAGAGACTAAGCATATCCTCAAGATTTGAGCTTGAACTAAACTAATCTCTTCTTTGAAAAAGTCACTTGGGGGAGGGGGAGGACATTAGCACAGTGGCACTGTCTTCCAAGGGAGGAAAGGAATCAACACACCAAATCTACCCACCTACTTCCTAGATCTGCAACGTATTTCTTTTTCTGTGATAATGCCAAGTCTGGTTGGAGAACATTTCAAAGCCACACTGTCAGGAGTACAACTGGGATGTAGGCATTTGGGCTAGGGACAGATATCCAAAAAGCCTGAGCCAGAATTGATTCAATCTGTGTAGGTTAATCTAACCTGGCTAGGCTGAACTGGTTTGTAACCACACAGACATCCACTCTGGAATGAAGAAAAAAAAAAAAAACCAGGCACATGCCTGCACTGGCTCAGGCTAGAAGCCGGTGGGCACTAAAGCAGCCCTCCCTTCCCTTCTACGGTGCTGAGCTGAGGGGGACTGTGGCCAGGCCCTGGCAGGATGTTCTGATGTTCCCCCACTCCTGAGCAGCCCAGCAGGGAATGTTTATCATCCCTAACTCAATGTTCATCAACCCATTAAGAAAACAAAGCCTGTCTCCATTAGTTCAAGGTCTTTTAAACCGCTTTTCTAAGGAAAGACATTACCAGCTACCTGTTGATAAACTCCAAAAAGCCTGTCTGCCTTTGTTGTCTCCCACAGCACAGACTGTAGCCAGCATGTGGTCTGTTAGCTAATGTTGAGAGGTGTAAAGCAGAGGGACAAGGAGAGTAATCCCTGCTTAGTAGGGAGAAGCCAGGCACATACCAGCAGTCTCTGCTAGAGCTCCAGTGAGGGAACAGAGGGGAGGGGGGAATTCCTGCTTAGCAGGGAGTGGTGAGGGGGAAGTGGGGAGCAGCCTGCAGTCTCTGCCAGAGCTGCAGCCATGGAGCAGAGGGGAGGAGCCAGCCTTGCTGTAGAGCAGAGAGCCCCACCCAGCCCAGAGAGCATGCTGGGATGCTGGGGGTATCTGGTTCATCTTAAACCAGGAAGGGGTCTAGGGCAGACATTGCATAAACTGGTTTGAGCCAAATCAGTTAAGTTTGATACTACATTCAACCAGGTTTATCTCAAACCGGTTTCAGCCATTTTCAAATTTGGTTCATATACGCTGAACATCAGTTCTGTTACAGGTTTAAAACCAGTTTCTGATCACTTAAACTGGTTGATGTGTGATGTCTGTCCCTAGCCTTGGGGCTTGACCACAGAGGGTCAAAACCCAGAGGATCAGGAAAACACAAGATCATGAGAGTAAGGGTCTAACAAGAGTCAGGAAAGCTGGAGGGTCAGGAGGCAGTGATCTGTATGAGAATAGGACACAAGCAGAACCACAAGCCAGGAGTCAGAAATAGGAAGCGGAAAGTCAGATCAGAGTCACTAGCCAGGGGGACCAGAATAGGCAGTTATAGCTTTATGGGAGCAAGATAAGGGTGATCACCAAGGGAAGCCAGGAACCAGAAGCCAGCTGTCAGAGGCCAAGAATCTGGAAGCAGAAGGGGTCAAAGAGCCAGTTTGGAACAAACTGTCAGCAACCAGGAACCAGGAGGAAGCCAGAAAGCCAACAAGCAGGACTCAGGGAACAGGAAACGAGGAGCCAGCAAGCAGGACCTAGGTTACTAGGAATAAGCAGATAGGATCCACGGACTGGGAAACTAAGAACAAGGACTCAAGGCCAAAGCTAAACAGAAAACCCTCTCTTCTGTTAAGCAGCCTACTGAGCCCTGAGAAAGTTGCCACTTACAATCAAGCAACTATGCTCATGCAGGCAACTGTGACCTGAGGGTAGGTAGGTCACTAGCAGCCAGGGCACAGTACTGGCCAGTCATGCTGCTGAAGTGATTGGGGACCGTCCATTCTCCTACAAACTTGGCTATAGCCACC